GAAAAGATGGTAAAAAAGGATATACCCATAAGAAGTCTTGAATTTATTTGAAATCTAAATTCTTACACTATCGCAATCCCTCTGTGCATGTGGAAAATATCTATAATTTCTTTCCTGCATTACAACTTTCAAAGTAGATTATTTAAAATAAACTCTTTGGGGGTACATATGAAAATAGGAATTTTCTGAGAACAAATTTCTCCCTGAAAAGCTAATTGACTCTTTTTATCTCTTCAGAAGGTTAGGTACCTGTAAGGAATTTGTTTGGGTGAAAATATTTCTAAAAATACCCTGAGAATGAATAAAGATTTAATCACACATAAAATGCTTCTTCAAAAAGTTAATTTATCTGAAAAGACAACTTAGCAATTTTTTCCTCTCGTGACAAATTCTCCTTTGTTGAAACCTAATGGTAGCCATTGGAGGGGTGGGAATTTTCTTTGTATCACACCAAATTTGACTTCAGGTTAAGAGGGTACAACTCAAGTGGTGTCATGAAGTTTTGTTACACTTCTCCTCTACTATTTAACTGCCAACTGAAGGATAATATCTTACACTTTCTACATATTTTACCATTTTCTCCACCAATTAATTATGTTTAGATGTCGCATGTCAAATTTCCTCATATACACTGTTTTATTTATATGTTTGTTATATAACACTTGATATATGTTATATGTTTATAATATATTGTATATGTACATATGTAATATAATACGGAAATTATATATAATATAAAACATACTAAATGTATAAATTAAATACTAAAATGTGCGTGAGAAATTTTATTACTGAATTTATCATATAATACTCGTTTATGACAGAGAAAATGACATTAAATATCTCATCTTAAAGTGTTTTTTATCTTGTCTATTACTTAAGAAGACTAAACATTTGTTGAAAAGACAAGTTTGATCCATTATTTTCAGCTTCTGCTCAGACCCACATAATAAAACCACATTGTACTGAAATATCTATTTTGCAAAGCTTCAATATGCATTCTGAATTCTGTCAAGTATATTCTGAGTTATGATTTTGAAATAAGACTATGGTAGACGAGGCTTTACTTGCTAACTCTAATAAAGTCCATTAGAAAAGCAGTGGTGTTAACATAGGCAGAAAGCTAAAATGGTACAAACTAATTTCTATCAATATTATAAGAAATTAACAAATGTATAGAAAAAACCCTAAAAATCTAGAACTCTTTACTATCCTCTTTTCATGAGGGTAAAGTTAAATTAGAAATGCTAAATGGTCATTTCTAGGAGTCTAGCAAAATTATTCACTGTTGGTTTTTGTTGACAGATGGGATTTATGCTTATAGACATAATTATTAGAATATGTAACTATATCAGAAAAATAACCTTAGAGGGATATTCCTAAATTAGATGACAGAGGACATTTTAAATATTTTAGATTATTTATTTATTTTGGGCAGCTCGTTGGAATGGGGATCCAAACTGTTGACCTTGGTGTTACCAACACCATACTCTAACCAAATGAGCTAACTGGCCACTTCCCCACCCCGCCTTTTTATTTTCTAGGTATGGGGATTTGAACCTCTGACTTTGGTGCTATCAGCTCCATACTATACCAAGTGAGCTAACAGGCCGGCCTAAATATTTTTAAATTTCATGTATGAAAGCCACTGCTTGAGTTTTTGGAAGTACAAATGAAAACTCTTCAGGAAATACTTACCCTTTTCTGTTCCTTTACATACTCGATCAATTCATCTCTTGTTCTTTTCACTGCCTCTTCCACAGCCTTTTCACTCCGCTTCTGCTCTTCTATTATTGCTTCCTTAACAGTTTCCTGTTTGTGGGAGGAGGAAAAAAAGTCAGGGACATATATACACTGTAACATATTTGTGTCCATTTTATATAAAGATCCTCTTCAATGGGTTGGAGGTCATTCTGTTTGTAGCACATCTCTAAATAGCAATAAGTATTTACAAAACCTTTCGGGATCTGTTAGAGATTTCATAGAACTTCTTTTCCTAAATTGAGTGAAAAGGAAAGAAATGGAATAAGCCATTTATTGCCGGGAGCGCCTGACAGACTCCAATGGCTTCCTTACCAACCTTTCATTTGATGTTTACATGATTGATTGCCTTCCTGTACTTTGCACTATCCACATTAGACTTCCAACTTGTGTTTATTCTTCCAAGAACACCCTAATGCTCTAGCTGTTTTATTCACGTTTAATTTTGCCATCATACAATAATCAAGTGTGGTCTGGGTGGGAAGATTTACAGCTAGTTTGGTCCTCTTGCCAGGTTAAGATGTTGAGAGCTGGACACCATGAATAAGTAAAAATTCCACCCTGTGTGCTAATATTTGAAATGAGAGATGTACAGAGGAAAGTGGTACTCCCCATGTTATTGAAATAGTAATCAGGTACTTAGGATGTTTCAGAATTGCAGATAAAGAAAAAGAAGGCTAAAATTCTGAAAAAGAAATGCAATCCTTCTCAAACAGTAGCAATATTTTTTGCTAAAAAAGTGTTTCGTGGATTGGAATAGATTGGAATGAAGGACACAAGGCAAAATTCATTAACTTCCATTTATTTATACAGGTGCCATGTTTTTTTTTTTCTTTTTCTTTTTCTTTATTGGATGGCAAGGCAATCAATTAGAAAATGCCTTGAAGTTTCTCAAAATATTTTCTTCATTCATTTTTGATTCTTGAGGGCTCTTCACTTTGTGGTGTGTGCATATGTTAAGTGTGTGCACTTAGTTTTTCTCTCTAAAAATACATTAATTCTGTAATGAAGAGTATGAATATTCACAGTAAGTGTGTGCACTTAGTTTTTCTCTCTAAAAATACATTAATTCTGTAATGAAGAGTATGAATATTCACAGTATGTGGTAAATTAAAAGTATAAATGGCTTCACATTCTTATGTTAATTTAACAGTTTCAGACATTATTTTTGACTTTTCAGTATGGAGGATAAGGAATTTGCCTTATTTTTTAGAACCACTCTAAAACCTAAGTCATAGCTAAGTCATAGACATTTTTAGCCCCTCTATCTTCCCAGGTTAGATAGTTTTATGGCTTTGGGTAGATACATAGTCAATATATCAGTTTTTGCTGTATAACAACTTTAAAATTTAGTGGCTTAAAACCACAACCATTTACTTAGATCAAGGATCAGCAAACTACCACTAAGGAATCAAATCTTGTCTGTTGCCTGCTTCTGTAGAACCCACCAGATAAGAATGGTCTTTACATTTTTAAATGGTTGGAAAAAAGAATAATGTTTCATGACATGAAAATTATATGAAACTCAACCTTCATTTTCTATAAATAAAATTCAATTGGACCACAGTCACATAGATTGTTTTACAAACTGTCTATGGCTGCTTTGGCACTACAATGGCAGAGATGAGTATTTGCAACAGAGATCATACGTGGTGCTCTCATCCATTCACACTGCTGTTTGGTGCATTACAAATGGTAGTGGTAAGGTTACAATTTGACTGCATTTGAGTGCCATTAATATTGCCATGCCGTAACATTATTATCATTTTCTATTCTATTGCATGTCATACCAAAACGAGAAAAGACTTCATTGCTCTTTTAAGGAACAGCGGAATGTGGATTATTTTGTATTGAATTAGATGTCAAAAAATGGTGGCTATTATGGAATGAGACTATAACTGTGCTAAAAGTAAATAACATATGTCATTTTATCAAACTAAGCATTCATCACATTAGTTCCAAGTACCAGGAAAGCAATAGTCAGAAAAATTACAGAATTTAAAATGAAATACCTCAAGACAGCAGAATTTTTACACACACACATACACACATACACATGCACACACACACACAGACTGCAACCAAATTGTTTCTGAGTGGATTTGTTAGTCACGCAAGAAAAGCCATTTACCGATGGTGAATTTAAAAAGTTGTGTTTAATTAAAGTTGCCTCATAAATTTGTTATTTAAACAAGAAAATAAACTTGTTTGAATCTAATGGCCTTTTGGTGAGAATGGCTGCTTGCAGAGATGAGGGCATTGGTAGCAAAATCAACAGTCAATTAAAAAACAAGGTAAATAATTGAGTGACTTTTCTTGGCTCATCATGAGTCAGATGTTACTAATGTTGCCCAATTGTTGAATTATTTATTTCAGAAATCAATGCCGAGTTTGAAATGATTAAAGACTTAGGCTCTATGAATAGTCTGAATGGAACAACTATAGGTAAGAACCTTTCCAGAAAAGTTGAGCAGCACTAATTCAGTACAATCTGATGTGAAATCTGCTAAGATGTGGTACAACTGATGCTAGTGAAAATATGTGTGGAACAAAAGGCTTAATTGGATAAATGTATAAGTCTTGTGAAATGATAAATTATTTAAAACTCATGGTTATTCATCAGCAAGTATTTTGAGGAAAATATTTGAATCTATTACTTGTTACTGAAATGAGTAGAGTCAACTTCCTTTGTATGGATTAAACCATCATCGCTTCTATTTTTGTCAGAAATTGAAGCTCAATATCGTGATTTGTCATACCATATAGCAGTCCAATAGCTTAGCAGTGGTAAAATTTTGCTGTGATTGTTTTTATGAGTAGAGTCAACTTCCTTTGTATGGATTAAACCATCATCGCTTCTATTTTTGTCAGAAATTGAAGCTCAATATCGTGACTTGTCATACCATATAGCAGTCCAATAGCTTAGCAGTGGTAAAATTTTGCTGTGATTGTTTTTGAGCTCAGCGATGAGACTGAAACATTTCTGAACAAGAGGAACCATCCTTAACCACAATTATCAAACAATAAATGGCTTTAGAAATTAGTTTTTGTTGCAGACTAGATGTTTCTTAATGAATTCAATTGAAAATTACAAGGCAAAACTACACTTACATGCAAGAATTATACTGCAAGTTTAGATATCTGAACTACAATCAGCATTGTTTGAATCATAGGTAAAGTTCAGCTGCTTTATACACTTCCTGTGCATCAACAATTAAAAAAAAAAAAGGTTTCCATTTCTACACAAATATAGTTTGGAGCTCAAACTATAGTTCCAGAAGTGTTTTTCAGACATACATGCAAGTGCAAAGGAACTTTCCATTTTTCAAAATTCATTTATGGTACAATTGAGAAGGTTTCATCTAACCTTCAATTAATCTGAACTGTAATAACATGATATAAGTGGAAAATATTAAATGAACCTAATAGAATTCTATAAATGCCTCTCAAGAGATAAATTTACTCAGTAAAATCATATGCTCACTCATTGATATCAATACTTGGCAGTACCTACCTTTGTAAAAAGACAATTTTAAAGAGAAAACAAGTA